TTAATTTAAATATTTTATAACTATATATTTTGCTAGCTGGGGTGGGTGGGAGTTATGGGAAAATGGGGAATTTACTGTTAGTGCTGCTTACTGCTAGTTAGGGGTTAACGGTAAAAAAAAAGCTTAGAAAAATGTTAAATCTGTAAAAAAAATTAATAAGCAAAACAAAAGTTTAAAAACTAGTTTTTAAAAGTAAAAAAGTAAAAAAAAAAGTTAAAAAATACATTTTAAAAATGCTCATTACCACTACACCTGGAACAAACTAGAGTAAAAATTATCCCACGCCAAGGTTCAAAATATGCCTTTTGAATTACCCCAGGGTGTATTCTTTAATAAATAGTATGTGTTTGTGGGGAAGTTTCAATAACCAACCGTCTAAACTACTCCAAATTGGAACATGGACACAGCGTAAAACTTCAAAGTTAGAAAAAAACTGAATGGCTGCATCTCAAATGCACCCCTTCGACATCCACATATACCTGGCAAAGGTACATACGGGGGTATTGCTGTACTCAGCCGACATAGCTGAGCAACATATGAAGTATTATACAGTCATAGCACACATAAGGTTTGCAAAATATGCTGCGCAAACTCACTTTGTATGTCAAAAAGGCAGAAAAAATGCTTATTACCACTACACTTGGTACAAGCTAGCGGAAAAATGATCCCACTCTAAGGTTAAAAATATGCCTTTTGAAATACCCTGGGATATCTTCTTTAAGAAATGGTATGGCTTTATGGGGTATTTGGATTATATAGCCTGGTAAAATACTCTAAAATGGGACATAGGCACAGCGTAAAAATTCAAAGTTTGAAAAAAACTGGAATGGCTGTGTCCCAAATGTGCCACTCCAATATCCACACATACCTGGCAAAGGTACATACGGGGGTATTGCTGTACTCAGCCGACATAGCTGAGCAACATATGAAGTATTATACAGTCGTAGCACACATAAGGTTTACAAAATATACTGTGCAAACTCACTTTCTATGTCAAAAAGGCAGAAAAAACGCTTATTACCACTACATCTGGTACAAGCTAGCGGAAAAATGATCCCACGCTAAGGTTCAAAATATACCTTTTGAAACACCCTGGGGTGTCTACTTTAAGAAATGGTAGGCCTTTGTGGGGTAGTTTGAATTTAAAACCTGCAAAGATGCTTGGAATTTGCACATAGGCCCAGCGTCAAAATTCAAAGTTCGGTAAAAACGGATATGGCTTGGTCTCCTATATGGCACTGTAGCTTCACAAAATAGTGCCAAAGACATTCATTGGGGGTGTCTTTTTACTCAGAAGACTTAGCTGAGCATAATTTGGGAGGTTTGAACTTAGTGGCACATATGAAATATACAAAACGCCCAGCAAAAATGCAATCCATATGTAAAAAATGCACAAAATTATTTTTTACCACATACTTTGGCATATATTGGTGAAAAAATGGGGGTATGTTAAGGCACAATATGCACCTTATGAGATACCCTGGAGTGTCTACTTTTACAAATGGTAGGCCTTTGTGGGGTTTTTTTGAACAGTCAAACTGTTATAATACCCCAAATGGAAGCTAAGGCTCATTAAATTCATCTCTCAAAATTCTACTGTGAATACTGAAAAGGACAGATCTCCTACATGGCACTGTAGCTTCACTAAATAGTGCTAAAGACATACAATGGGGGTGTCCTTTTACTCAGAAGACTTAGCTGAGCATAATTTGGGAGGTTTGAACTTAGTGGCACATATGAAATATACAAAACGCCCAGCAAAAATGCAATCCGTATGTAAAAAATGCACAAGATTATTTTTTACCACATACTTTGGCATATATTGGTGAATAAATGGGGGCATGTTAAGGCACAATATGCACCTTATGAGATACCCTGGAGTATCTACTTTTACAAATGGTAGGCCTTTGTGTGGTTTTTTTGAACAGTCAAACTGTTATAATACCCCAAATGGAAGCTAAGGCTCATTAAATCCATCTCTCAAAATTCTACTGTGAATACTGAAAAGGACAGGTATCCTGTATGGCACTGTAACTTCACAAAATAGTGCCAAAGACATACAATGGGGGTGCCAGTTTACTCAGCAGATATAACTGAACACAAAATAAAACTTTGTACAGGAATAGCACACACCAACTTTACAAAATATACATGAGAATTTCTTTGTTATCAGTTTGTGTGCCAAAAACCAAAAAAAACACAATTTTACTCCAATATTTAGCAGAGGTTGGCGGTGAAATGGCTACGTAGAAAGTGACAAAACAACCTTAGGTAAATAGCCCGTGTCTACTTTATATAAATATATACTTTTGTGTGGCAATTTTGTTTTCTTTTATGGCTATTAAGCTTACAAGACAAACATACCAAATTCTAAGATCGCTCCACATTAAAAGTCTATTTTACTCCTTGTGCTTTGTAACCTGTAACTACCAAAAAAAATCCCAGACACTTTATATATTCTGTAAATCAGAACAACTAAATTAATTTATTTTTAATTACTTTTCTTAACCTGCACTAATTATGCACACATTATTATTGCAAAAACTGTAAAAAAAAAACACAAAATTTTCAATGTTTTTAAATTTTTCTGTATTTTTTTTATAATAAATAAGCATTTATATATATGTGTGTTACATCAAATTAATTCCCTTTCTGTTCTTGATGTATAATATGTGTTGGTGCAACAAATTAGTAAAATGCAAATTGCAGTTGAACGCAAACAGCAAAAAATGAAAAAAATGCTGTTGTCATTAAGTGAAAGACAAGCTTTTGAAGCTCTTTCCTTAAGGGGTTAAGTATTAAATTCAGCCGCTTGTTAGAATTTTGTGGTTTTTTATGAAGATTCATTGTCCTTTTCCAGCTGGAAAGTTGAGTGAGCACATGGCTGAAATTATACACAGCTATGATAATTTACACTCATACACAAATTGCTGACTGTAAGTATTCACTTTAAACGTTTGTCCAGTGGGGGATTTGAGTGAGTGTTGACCGGAACATGCTCATTGGTATACCAAGTGATACCTCAAAGTGAAGTGACCTTTTGATATATACTACATTAATTATCTCTCTAGCCCCATTTATTAAAAGGTTGTTTGTGTATACACGATATTGCTGGTGTTACATTCATTACAGGTTTTATTTCTCCACTTGTCTTCTCTTCAGATATGGATGAATGAATACCTACTGCATAACCATATACATCTGACTTAAGCTTCCTCTCATCTATATTTGAGTTGGCTGCTCTTAGGAAGCATTTGAATACCACTAAGATCTTTGTTTATGCTAAGAGAATGTACAAATACTCTTTCTTTCCTGTGTATGGATTAGAATCCACATGTATCTATAATTATTCCGTAAAGGAACTCTCCAGGCACTAATAAAACTTAACTGCATTTAATAGGTGTACCCCTGCTCAGAAGTTCCACTTCTACATTAGTAATATCAATTTCATCCATATATTAGGTTCGTAAATTGAATCTCACACGCGCAGATCCAATAGGAACAAGCAGTTGTATTTAGGAATAAGCAGTTGTATTTAGGGCTTCTCTGATCAATTGGAAGCAGCTCAACTAAGTACCATAGGTTTTCTTTTTTTTTTTTAGAACATCCAGGCTTGCATATTGAGAAGTCCACGAGACTGTGGCTATGTGCCAGCCTGTGGTAGGCAAAACCACAAAATAGCTGAGGTGACAAGGTAGAATGTCACTCTTTACGGTCTCCTTCTTTGCTATCAGTAGCACCAATATATGGAGGTACATAGACAAGCTCTCAAAGTCCTCATTTTGCACTGCACATGCTGCACTCATACAGTTCACCATTACAATCTATAAACATTGCGTAGTGTGCAACAGAATATTGTGAAATTAGGTAATTTGAAGAAAACATAAATAATGAGAGTGTCAATGTGAACATCACAGGGATTTCCTTTTCTAACAATGCACATGCAATCATCATACCTTATGCTATAGTTATCATGCTACAATTGCCCATGCTGCAGCTACATCAGTTGGCATAATCAGTATGTTGGCAGTATATAGGCTATCTTTACCAAAGGGTTAGCAATAACCTTTATCATTAATTAACTTTTTGCTGCACACTTATGCTTAGATATGTGTCTCTTCATAATAATTATGTGCAAAGTAAAAATCATTATACAAAATTACCATCTTAGCTTGGGATTTCTCCTATTTGTCCTGGCTAGTTCTCTGGTTATTGCACTCTTTAACCCAGCCAGTAAATCTTGAATAACAGTTCTTTCAATGCACATTTGCAGTTTTGCCACAATTTCTATGATTTTTTTTTTTTAAATGTTTTTTGTAAATGTTGGTGGTCACTGGAATATGCATAGTTATTCTTTTGTTGCTGTGTATAACCTAACATTAGATTGTATAGTATTTTGATTTGCATGAGGATGTTTGATTAGAAATGCTTTTTAAGTTTACTGAGACCACAACATACTTCTGAGCTATGGTGTTCTGGGGAAGGTCCAGGTTGAACATCAATATTTTAACATTAACTTTTACAGAACAAAGCAATAACCCCTTAAGCTAATTAGCAAAACTGTGATCTAGGAGTGTGGTATAGCACAATACCAAAAGGCAAAATATGTAGTTTAACCCAGTGCATCTATTGTGTATTAGCTGCTGTAGCCACAATAGCAAGCACAATATAGCAATCCAAAGTATTCATCCACAAAGCACAGCTGAGTTATTGGGGCCCACTAGTGCAGCCCAAATTTATTCAATGAGCATTCAAAGTACAGACGCATTTATCATTGATAAAGGAACAGGGTCACGAAACGTCTGTACTTGAAATGCTCTTTGAATAAATTTGGGCTGCACTAGTGGGCCCCTATTACTAAGCTGCGCTTTGTAAACTAATTAGAATTAGACATCATGGTTCCACTGGTGCATTGATCAAAAATCTGCATCCTTAACAGTTCCATATGTTCAAAAGAGATCAATTTTAAACTGATAATAGTATTATTAGACCACTCAGTTGCTTTATGCACTCTGTCCCTCTACTGCAAATACCTGTTGGAGAGCTCCTTGCTTCATGTCTGGTGATCTTTCCCACAAATAAGCCCAATGCACGATGAAAAGGATGGAAGCACTTCTCAATGACAGGGCTAAAAAGATTGATTTGTACCATTTGGTTTGACTTTCTTTCCAGATGAATCACTCAAAATCCTATTGCTGAGGGACATAAAGACATGCAGTAACTTATCTCCATCCTATCCTTTACCATTTTCTCTCCTATGTATTTCCCATTATCACTTTTTTCTTCTTTCCTGTATTCACTGTCTATATTTACTATATTGACTGGTGTGGCATTAGATGAGGCTCTATGCTGTGGGACAACTGGTTTTATGTAAGTCCCCATGCAAGGGGTTTCTTGAAATATATTCCAGGGCATTCCTTACTGGACCTGAGAGGAGACTACAGTAAAGTACACAACTTAATTACATTAACTCTCAGGTCCAGGACATACACATCAATTAAACCCCCAAAACATGCATTTAACAGTGAGGTACCCCATCAAGTCTGATATCCCCGGATAGCCTGGATCTGAGTGCCCAACATATCCCGAAATCACTTAGATCCCACAAACTTAGCTGAAACACCACCGAGGTAAAGTTTAGACTGACCACGCACGAGATGTATGCCCAAAAGAGTTCCATGGAATTATGCTGAGCAGTCAGTCTCTCTCAGGGGGTACGAAATATCACCAAAATACTGAATTAAACTTTTCGTATGAAGGCTTGACTGGTATCTCTTGTTCGAAAGTACATTCCCACCGAACCACGGGCTTCCTAGTCAAAATAAGCCGAACATAAGTGGAAGGGGAAAGTTCAGAAGTGTTTGGGTGGTCAAGTATCTGATTTGAGTTCCACACACTCGACGACCAAACACAGCTGTATGTGTTTGCTGCTCAAGATGGCCCATGCCGCCACATGTTTGTATACCGAACGGCGACCACCCAGCCGACCGTTTAGAATGTTTGCAGTTTAGGAGTATTAAGGAGGTGCGAACAGGGCTGACAGAGGTTAATGAGCAGAAAACTCTACATACGGGTGGTCTAGTTATTCGGGAGTTTGTTCGGTAGGTTAAAGGAATAATGAAAACAACAAAGGAGAATGCAATGTCCCAAACACATAGGAGAATGAAAGAAAGTAGTTATAATCCAGCGACAGGGCGCCTTGTGGAACACTCCGGCAAACCCGGTTTGACCCTTTTCAGGTCAACTTGGGGATGTCCGGACTTGGGTTAGGTGCTTAGTTCCATCTGTCGGGACAACCTGTCGGCATTGCCATTCTGCTTACCGGGCTGGTAGTGGATGGTAAAGTTGTAGGCCTGTAGTGCCAAGCTCCACAGTAGTAATCGGCTATTGTCTCCCGCGACCAGGTTAAGCCACACCAATGGGTTGTGGTCGGTGATCAATGTAAATTCCCGTCCGTAAATAAGGAGTCCGTATCTTTAATGCCCACATCAAGGCTAAATATTCCTTTTCTACTGCAGCTTAGCTCACCTCCCAGGGTAACAGCTTCTTTCTGAGTTATGCGACAGGGTGCTCTCCTCCATCTTCTTCGATTTGGCATAGGACTTGCCCCAGTCCAAACATGAAAGCATCTGTGTGCACAATAAAATGCTTGTTAGGGACTGGGGCAGCCAAGACAGGAGCATTAATTAGGGCTAGTTTCAGTGACTGAAATGCGGCTTCACATGCAGGAGACCACAGGACCTGCCTAGGCAAATTTTTCTTCATCAGGTCAGTCAGGGGTTTGGCGATAGTACTATAATCTGGTACAAAACATCTGTAATACCCAGCGGTTCCAAAAAAGGCCAATAGTTGGGTCTTGGTACGACGTGTGGGCCAGTTAGCGACTGCTTCTATCTTAGCGGGTTCTGATTGCTGCTTCCCACACCCCACCCGGTGTCCCAAATATGGAATTCTGCCATGCCAAAGTGGCATTTGTTTGGCTTCGGAGTCAGGCCAGTGGCCCAAATCTGATCCAGCACTGTCCCTATGTGAACAAAATGTTCCTCCCAGGACTCACTGTAGATCGCAATGTCATCCAGATACGCACAGGCAAAATCCTGGAAGCATCGAGGAGTCTATCCACCATGCGCTGGAAGGTGGCCAGGTCATTCTTCGTCCCGAATAGCATGACCTTAATCTGCCAAATGGGGTGACGAAGGCCAACTTGGGATAGATTCATTGACCAGGGAAATCTGCCAATAGTTTTGCACAGGTCTATGGTGGTCAGATAACGTTCATCTATCCGGGGCATCGGGTACGCATCTGTAACAGTCCGGTCATTTAGTTGCCGGTAGTCCACACAAAACCAGGTAGCTCCATCTTTCTTAGGCACGAGGACCACCGGTGAAGCCCACAGACTGTCAGAGGGTTCAATGACGCCTAGTTGCCACATTTCCTGTATTTCCTCCCGCATTCCTTCTCGGACTGCTTCAGGGAGAAGTGAGTGGGGCTTGCCCAGGTGGTCTTGCCTTGTGAATAGCTAGAGTGGTGAACCAGGGCTCCTGGGAGAAGGTCTGCCGCTTACTTTCTAGCAACTGGCTAGCCTGATCCTTCTCCATGGCCGTTAACCTGTCTCCTAGCTTCACCTGACTGATGAGATTGATCCGGGCATCCCTTTCTAGTAGATCGGGAAAAGGGAGATTGACTTGGTCGTCTGTAGCTGGGGCACATACAGCGGCTATGTCTTCCTGTCTTTCCTGGTACTCCTACAGCATGTTAATATGAAAGGATCTCTGTATCCTCTCATCGGCGCAGCTGGCAACTACATAGGTGGTGTCACAGAGCTGTTCCACCACCTGATAGGGGCCCTGCCATGCCGACTGAAGCTTATCCTGTCTGGTAGGTTTCAATACCAATACTTTCTGTCCCACCTGGAATGTACGTTGGCGAGCCCCCCAATCGTACCAAAACGTCTGTCACCCCTGAGCCGCCTTGTTTTTTTCCTTTACCATCTTAGCCAATTGTTCCATTCAGTCCCAGAGTTCCGGCACATACGGTACTATGGGGGTCCCCTCATATCCCGTTTCCCCTTCCCAGTGTTCCCTAATGAGATCAAGGGGTCCTTGCACCCTTCTCCCATAGAGCAACTTGAAAGGGAAAAAACCCAGTAGATTCCTGCGGCACCTCTCGATAAGCAAACAAAAGGTGAGGCAGGAACTGCTTCCAGCGGCGGTAAAGGTTCTCAACATCTGCTTGAGGGTACCATTAAACCGCTCACAGAGACCGTTAGTCTGGGGGTGGTTAGGTGAGCTATGTATGGGCATAATACCACAGACCTTCCACAGCTGCTGTGTTGGGTCTGCGGAGAATTGGGTACCCTGATCTGAAATTATCTCTAGCGAATGTCCTAACCAGAGCCTCGGGAACTGTCTCTGCATGGATATTCGGAAGGACAATCACTTCAGGATAATGGGTAGTGTAGGTCGAGGATGAGGTCTAGGGTCATAGTTGGGGTTTGGTCTTTTACCTGGGTCTCCGGTGCAGGTGGGCCGGCTTCCGCAGTCCTAGCTTGTAGACGAGTGCCTTACCGGGGCTTGCTCCGTTTTCCGGGAGTCGGTGTATTCATCGGCTAGATGAGCTGCTTCAGGTAAGTTGAGAGGTCTCCGGTCATGAATCCATTCCCATATATTTGACTGCAGAGCATTAAAAAAGTGTTCCTGGAGGAACAGCTGCAACACATCCTCTCCAGATAAGGCTTGACACCCGGTGACCCAGTGTGATGCATTTCTGTGGAGGCGGCATGCCCACTTGGTGTGAGTCCCCGCTTTGCTTTTTTGGATTCCTGGAACTGTCTGTGGTACGCCTCGGGGGTGACTGCGTATCGGGCAAGCAGGGCTTCATTGACTGTAGCATTGTGGTGTATCTCGTTCTCCGGTATAACTCTATAGACTTCAGCAGCTCTAGCCGACAGCTTTCCGGACAGAATGGTGACCCATTCATTGTTTGGTACTTTGTGTAATGCACATTGTCTTTCAAAGTCTGCAAGGTATTTCCCCCTCAGTCTCTTGGAAATTTGTAAAAGCTGTAAATGGCACCTTTTTTCGCTCTATTGGGGCTAGGGCGAAACGCCACCGGGGTAAAGTTTAGACCGACTGCGCACAAGATGTCTGCTCAAAATAGTTCGATGAAATTAGGCTGAGCGGTCTGAGGGTTACAAAATATCAACAAAATACAGAATGAAACTGTTCGTATTTAGGCTTGACTGGTATCTCTCATTCAGGAGTACGTCCCCACCGAACCACGGGCTTCCTAGTCGAAATTAGCTGAAAATCAGTGGAAGGGGAAAGTTCAGCTGTGTTCGGGCAGTGTTAATGAGCAGCACACTCCACATAAGGGAGGTCTAGTTATTCGGGAGTTTGCTCGGTAGGTGAACGGAATAATGAAAACAAACTAAGGAAAATGCAATGCCCCGAACACATAGGAGAATGAAACAAAATAGTTATAATCCAGCGACAGGGTGATCTGTCACAACTGGGTTGCCGATACAATGTTGCATGTATGGCTCTTGCCTATAGTGGGTTGCTCTCAAACAAATGAGAGTATACCTAAGATATCTTAGTTTGTTGATAGATCAGAGATGACCTGATACATGACCTCAAAGTATCTTAAAAGTTAGCTTAAAAGCAAGTAATAGAGGCTAAATAATTAACATCTGATTGAAGAAATTACTAAAATACACTCCAAACCCCTAAAGCTTGCTGAAGGTTTTTTTGAGTGAAGAGTGTTCTTTTTTTTTTTCATTTAACAAAAAGTGCAGATTTCAATGGAAATTGGCTCTTTTATAAATTAACTGGTTACTCGTATCTGACTGTCAATCAACAACAGGTCATGTTCCTGGTTGTTTAGCTCAGTGGACCTAAACTTAAGAAGCAGGCAATTGTTCAGAGCAACTGATTTTTTTTTTTTTTTTAATATTTGGGCAATGAAGTGTCTCTTTGAGGTCACACTCATTTGATCACAAACCTTAATATAATCACATTTGTACCAAATTCTCTCCTGGGCAGTAATTGGTAGCGTCAAAGATCAAGTAATGTGAATTCTACAATAGAATTGTTTTGCATGTAGGTGAAGGAGTCGGGTGCCCATCAGGATCCAGGTAACTTGACAAACTTCTGTAAAACAGATTGACAATTACACTAAGATGTGCCGGGGCACATCTGGACTGTAGTGTTTATGATGCTTGGAGTGTTCC